TGGAGACAACATTGTGATGCGCCTCCATGGCGACCTGCGGGCCGGGGACGGCAGCCGCCAGCGACAGGACTATGGGGATCCCCGAGCGGCACCACTACTTAATTATTGGTCATCCGTTCCTGGTGTGGAAATGACGGATGCTCTCACTTAGCACCTCTTTTGCAGTTGGCACTTGCAGAGTGCTTAAAAGTTCACTGGTGCCCGCGAAGAAACGACCGTTCGTGCCCTTCTTAGCAGGAAGCACGGAGACGGCCCCCAGAGCGCTGGGGTCTGCTCTGGGCCAGAGTGCCTCACCGGCTGTTGCTTTCAATTCCGGTTCGGTCAGGGGACGAGTATGCAGGAGACGTTTTCCATGTGTTGTCGTCTTCTCCAGAGATGAAAGCCAGTGAACAGCAAATTAATTCCATGGTAAAGCTGCCCCCTCAAAAAAAAAAAATGACAGCCTTTTAATATAGTACTTTTTGCTTAGAAGGCATAGATATAACAAGCAGACTGGAAACTGTTAAATGTGCTCTGGCAGTTGTAGGGGGAAAAAGCCATCTGCTGTGAATGAGTCTCCTGCATTTGTGGGGAGGAACGTTACAAGACCCTATCGGCCAGAGCCTGTCTAGGTGTGGACCTCCCGGGAAGAAGAGTATTTCTGCAGTATTGTATTGGTAGATTGTGGCCATATTTTACCTGACTCTGTAATAAGAATCTAACGTTTGCACTGTTATAAGTAGATGGTAGGTAAATAGTTGGATAGATAAAGAGATAGAGATGATAAAGAGATACATAGATACACATGTACATAGATAGAAGACAGATAGGAGTTTGTACTTCTGACAACATGTAAGATTTACTATAGATTGCTTTCACCTTCAAACTGGACAGAAGGGTGTGTTTGTGAGGATGGTACCGGGGGGTAACAGGAATGACAATGGCTGACATTTATCCAGGCCTCAATTTGCACCAGGCACTGTGCGACGTTTTTTAATGTGTCATCGTCCTTAATCCTTTGAACAACCCCATTGTCCCTGAGGGGATGGAGAGGTTGTAGTAGAAAGAGATGGAGTGTTTGCTCAAGTCTGTGTAGCTGGTAGACGCGGGATTGGGGGCAGGAAAAAGGCAAGCATCGCTTCAGGGCCTTTCTCTTTACTTTGTGCATCTGCAAACGCAAGGGGACCTTCTGGTCACCCAGCAGGCTCCCTCGGCCCTTTATCCAGCTTACCCCCACCCCCACCACTGGCCCCTGGCCAGCTCACATGTTAGACCAAACCCCTTCCACGGTGGCCGACCCATGTATGGTAATGGACTTCTTTGAGGTGTTTTTTTTTCCTGGTTCCCAGAATTGTTCAAACATGAGTTAGACTCATTATTTCCCACCATTCTTTTCAGCCAGACCATAGCATGATTGATTGGGTGTTTAAAACTAATTCAGGTTGCTCTGAGGTCTCTTTGAAATAGTTATGGTTGCTCTGTGTCCGACGTGGCCAGTGAGGTGGTGCTCGGCCAGGTTCTCTGCAGACACCCAGCTCAGTAACACCCACAAAGGCGAGCTGCTCCGGTCGGCCCTCTGCGCCTTCCATGCCGCCTCCGAGGCACGTCCCCCCTGAACCCCAGGGTCTGGATCAGTGGCTCACAACCTCGCTTGATCGCGTTTCCCGACCAGGGAGAAAGGTTCTAGCTACACTACCGAGGTGTGCGTATTTCTTCATTTTCAAATGATGTAACAATCATAACCATTATCGAGTGCTTGGTGTGTGCTAGGCTCTTGTTAAGTATTGACTTACAACACTTCATAACAGCTCTACGAAGTAGGTATTATTATTATTATTATTATTATTATTATTATTATTATTAACACTATTGAGGGTAAGGAAATCGAGACATTAAATGTTAAATGCTTTGCCCCAGGCTACTTAACTAGCAGATGGCGGAACCAAGCTTGAACCCGAGTGGTCTGACCTCTAAGTCCATACTATTATGGACTAAATATCAGTTTCCTCTACATGTGTTACTGACTAATTTATTATATTCTTTATGGGATATATGAAAGCTAGAAATTGTAAAAGAATGAGATACACCCTGGTAATAATTGATTGAACAACTGAATAAAGTATCTCCCTGGCCAGAGCAATATAGGGATTTCAAGCACCCTGACAACCCAATAGGAGAAATAATGTAGGATAAGGACTCTTACTCACATTCACAGGAAAACATACCTTAAAATTAACTGCATGTGTCCTACCTAATGTGCTGCAGAAAGTTCAATGAGTCACCAAGTTTCTTGTATCATTGACAATAAAAAGTATGCAAGTCCAAAATAACCCTCTTTTTTGCTCAGTAAATCTTTGGTCTTCCAGATCAGCTTCAACTTTACGTGGTCACTGGCTTTAGGGCCCATAGGTGTCGCCAAACAGTGGGAAACATTGGAGCGCATGCAACAGCATCGATCTGTTGTTTGAAACAGTGATGACCACTGTTTGTCCAAGTGTGGCCACTGGTTTGGTCAACACCTGGTCAGAAACTTCCTGTCCAGGGGGTCTGCAGGGGCTGCGGCTGTTGAGAGGGGGCCCCGGCAGCTATGGGGTTTGCTTAGAAGGAACTTTTGCATGGCATTTTTCCTAAGACTGGACAATGATGCATTTTCTGCCTCAAAACCTGGAGGAGCTGATGGAGATCAACCCCCTCACCGTTGGACCACTAAGTCCAAAATGAGTGACATTCTGAATACTGATGACATATACCATAGGAAAGAATTTTTATTTTCAACGTGTATCAGTATGGCCTATTTAAGATTTGCCGTCATTGTCACTGCTTTAAAACCCAATTGCAAATGCCCTTTTTTTTTCACTCACACAGAAAATACACAACCTGGTAATTTACAATCTTTTGTAGTTCAAAGTGTCGTTCTGCAAAAACGTCTCTCTTTTAAGCCCAGGAGTGCACAGGAGATAGGTATTTAAGTACGATGCGCAGGGGACAATGGGATTTATGAGCTGAAGGAACAGGATGACACCAAGTGGGGTTTCATTAAACTAATCTTATGGCTGGCGAGGATGACATGTCAGGCATTCCATTCATTTTAAATACCAAGCCATTTCCATAAATTTCTTTCATGATGTGAAGCACATCATATAGGTGCAGTCCCCGTACAGGGCGCGCTTAAATACGCCAGGCACGTTCTTCTGCTTCGCTACATACTGTTTCTCATTTCATTTGCGAAAGATGTACTTATCAGATTAATTCTTATGGGCCGGTTCATATTTTAGTTTTATTCTTGGGGTCTCGTTTATTGGTGCCATTGTCCTTGTTTGACGCTGCATTGTACGCACAGCTTCGGCTCATGCGGACACCATCGAGTGCCTCTCCCTTCCTCCCTGCACCAAAAGCAAAAGGAATCTCCTTTTGTAATGATGTTTGTCAAGGAGAGATACATTTGTCAATGCAAAAAAAAAATACACAGGATGTATTTGGGGCTATTTAGCATAAAATGTCCTTCTGAAACAGCCTTGTTGTGTAAGATAATGTGTTCTGCTGCAGAATGTGTAAGGTTGAGTTTCTTTACCGTGTGAACACTATGCTATTTTCTTTTCTCCCCTAATCCCCCACCCTGTTTAACAGCAGACAGACCCAGGGAGCCCTGAGTGAATCCGATGATCCTGAAACAGGCTGTCTCTCTGATAACAAGCCAACTTCTCGACACTTCTATCCTGTCGCCTTGCTGCTTGTCAGCTCACACCTGCTGGTTGTGTGGCTTATTTTAAGTCTTGCGTTACTCTTAGCCAAATACCAATAAGTTTTCTGTTGTATTCCTTTCTTTTCTACAAAGGACAACGGACTTTAAATTATGGGGACAATGCTGTAACATTTCTACATTTTAAGATTCAGAGAATTTAACAGATGTTGGCATTGTGTCTTCTTTGTTTTTTTTTTTTCCTAAAATCTACAAAAGGAAGTACTATGCATTCAGTGAATTATTTTGCTCTTTTGTCCATGGAGAAGTGTTTCCCACTGTTCCCTAGCTCAAGAAGAATTTTTAAATTACTATCTTTGGAATAAGACAAAGAACAGAATCCTGAAAGCTTGAAGGTCTGCACCTCCTGTTCCTCTTCCCACTGAATTTATTAAAGAAATTAAGACTGAATTTGCACAACACACTGAAACTCTGAGACACATGGGGGAGGTTCCAGACTTTATTGCCACTGTGCTCAAACCACTGTCGCCATCCGCTGATAGAACATTCTGTTTGATTTCTCCGCCTGGCAGTCTTGTTATTTCTTTGCTGCTGTTAACCCGTCTCTGTCAAGTAACTCTATGGAGAGAATGGCTATTTCTGTTTTGTAATTAAATTAACCTGTTTGTAATGGTTGTTTGGGTTGACTTGGCTTTCAGAGTACTTTTCTATTCTTTTCAACAAGGTTTCATTTGTGTCTCGATGCCCCCTTTTCCCACCTGTGACTTTTGAACCGTCTGTGCACAAGCACTCCCTTGACAAAGCGGAGACTCGGACCAGGCTGTTCCGGAAGCCATTTTTCTCGTCGTTGCACAGCTCAAATAATGAACTAAAATAGAGATTGAACTTTCCTTTAAAAATCTATAGGGCCAGACTTAATAAATTAAATGCCTTATTCCTAGAACCTGTATCCTTAGGGCTACATATAGATTTTAATGTGTTTTAAAGAAATTAATTTGTGGAAGAGTTATAAAAAGGCAGATATATTTATGAGATTCAAGTGAAGCTGTATTGTGGAGCAAATTATATTTAAAGAGTTTATTAAACCTTAAAGATCTGTTAAGAGCAAAGAGACTTTAATCATCTCTTTCCGAGGGCAATAATGGTATTGGGCCTGGCCTAGGATTTAATTTTGTAAGATGTATCATCATTTGTGAAAAAAAAATGTAGAGTTGAATCTTTGTTATTTTTACTTGGACTGTTGCTGCAACTCTGCATTGAACAAATAAAGGATATTTATTTATTCTGTTTCATGAAGTTGTACTTTTTCCCCTTTTACCAGAGAAGGATGCCGCATAGAGAATGTGCTGAAGAATATCAAATGCAGAAAGTATGCTTTCAACATGCTGCAGCTGATGGCTTTCCCCAAGTACTACAGACCTCCAGAGGGGACTTACGGAAAGGCCGACACCTAAGGCTGCCCACGTGTAAATGAACAGGGACACAAACACGCGTCTGTTGGATAATCTCTGCCTTTTTTTTTTATTGTCTTGAATTTGTGGAGGGACGTGACCAGGGATGTTTGCCCAAGTCTGAGAATTACTTGAATCGGTTATCAGCACATTTCTCTGAGAGAAATCCATTTTTAAAACAATCTTACGTAATATTGTCCTTTCTAGTTCTAAGCTTCTGGGTGTTGACTCTCGCTGGCTGAGATCGGCTTGGAGCGTGTAGCTTTCACTCATGCAGTGTTTTAATGGCAGACATTCTGAGAGCACAGGTCCATCCACGGAGGCCGAGAGGCGATGCGGACAGCGGTGCTCTCCCTCCAAAGTGAAGCTGGCAGAGGATGGAGGGAGGGGGGCGTTGCGAGATCATCTCACAGCTTTTCTCACACGTACTCTTAGAGCCTGTTTCTGAGGTTTAGCCACGGTTTTCTAGTGAGCTGAAATGAGGTCGCATTGACTCCCGATCAGACTCCAGGACACCGTGTAGCTGTGCCCGGAAAGACTTTGTCGTCCGGCTGAGATGCCACCACTCCTCCTGGACAGGTGGATGAACAGTGTCAGTAAAGCAGTGAAAATACTCTCCGAAAACATGGTTTCTTTGCAAAGCTCTGACCTGGGTTGTGCAGCCCTGTTGTACAAGTGGCACGAGAGGAAGTTTGATAGGATAACAGGCAAAACACTGTGAGGAACGAGAAACTGCAAGGATGCCCCAAGTGAAAAGCTCCATCAGCCTGAACTTCATGTAGTCAGGTTCATGACAGTGAACCGTGTGTCTCTGAGATGTTCTCCAAAAGTCATCTTGGTTAGACTATAGATGGTGCAAGTCTGCATTGCCTGGCATGGAATAGTGTATGTGCATAAACCTTCTAAAATACATGCAGCCATCACTGATGATAGACCAAAACAATTATTTGTTAACCTGAATTCCCAATGTGTCCTTATCCAGTAAAACAACACTATAAATGGTCCAGAATTTTAAGTTAGAAGCTTCCTTAGACATTACCTAGTGTAACACCCTTACAGATGGCTACGCTGGAGCCCAGGGAAGCTCTGCCCCCAGTCGCCCAGCTAGATAACTTTAGAGCCGCGATGACAGCCTCCTGTGTCCTTCCTCCCCTGTGGCTTCGCTCCTCTCCCAGCTGCCGTGCCACATATGCATGGCGATCATGGGAGAATGCTAGTGAGTGAAACAGAAATCGGCAGTTATGACTGAAATTCAAACTTAGCCGATGACCACACTCTGAACAAATGAAACCTACTTTCTCCAAATTTCAGGAATGTATTGCCTTTCTTCTCTCACTAGAGGGGCGTGGCACTCAGAGCACACACCTCAGTTGGAAACGCCAGACGTCTGTTACTCAGACGTGTCTTAGCTGTGGCCACACTGAACAGAGTTGTATTGCAGGCTTTCAGTAGCGCATGTGACAGAGGACACTTACTGAAATAAGGATTCCAGACAGATCTCTAGATTCATGGGCTTTTTCAAATTCATACAGATTGTAGATAATCCTCTGGGGATTTTCATACTACAATGATCCATCTATCATTTTCGCTCATGACTGTAGGTGTTATATTTGAGGCAGTTGCCAAATGGCCAACCGCCTTTCTAATAAAGAGGGGCCACGGGCGGGCCGTGGCTCTGCTCAGGGGGAAAGTGATCTCGGTGCTCTGTTTTATACCTCCTTCTCCGTGTCAGGGATCAGCTATAATCTCTGAACTGTTCCGTGTCATTTGGAAATGGTAGGGTTTGTGGTTATTTTCACTGTGCCATTGGATGTAAGGGAACAATCTGGGATGAGAGAGGTTTCTCCGGATAACCATGAACCCTCCTTCAGAATGTCTAGTGGCAGCTGGTGCCAAGAGCCTGAGCAGGCTATCCTCATGGGAATGCTCTTATACAGAAGAATTTGTGTTTGCATTTGTAAAAATGAGAACTTTTGACTCAAATGTAGAAAAATATTTAGCTAAAAGTTTTTCTTTTATTTTTGGAAGACATTTTAAAGATTTGTTTTCTTTTACAATAAGTACTAATATAGATGCCTCAAAGGGTAGTGATTCCTGAACTACAAAGGCATCTGAGTTGTTGTTTATTATCAACATGGCCATCCGCATTTCCCTTCAGGATGCCCATGTTTGTGCATACTTTCAAAGGTGGATTTCATCAAAGAAATTCACCTTTCACAGAGGCAAAAATATCGACCCTTTCCTAAGAGATACTCCAAGTATCCTTAGAAAACCACTTCATTATTTCTTAATTATTAAGGCTGTCGAAATCAAAGAGCCCAGGTTAAGCAAAAACGTTTTAAAACCTCCTTTGCACAGATGCAGCTCAGCCATGCTCTCTGTTCACACATTCATTTAAAAGGCGCGCACCCCAGCAGGCTGATTTTAGGAGATCGTGTCAAACCAGAACATGAACCAAGAAAATGGCATTTCCAGACAAGATCATTGTTTTGCTCAAAAATAGTTCCCCTCTGATATCACCAAACGTAGATATCCATGCTGTATTCCCTGTGACCAGAGTGCTGCAGAAAGCACAGTTAGAAAAAAGGGGCTTTCTCACAGAGCGGCTGACCGGGAAGGTTGGAAGTATTTGTTTGAAGCAGCCCCACCCTCCGGGGGAGCCATTCATTTATTTCTTGTGTAGTTGGTTGTTTTTTTTCCTTGTAACTATTGCCATGAGTGTGACTGCACTCTGCCCAAACAATCCCTGATGGAAACACTTGGTCAGTCCAGTTATCTGGTGAGTCAGCGTGGTCCTTTGATGCAGCTGACACATGGCGCTAACATGTCCAAATGCCCATTTAGAGCAGCAGACCGTGTACTTGGCCTCCAGCGCACACTTTGTAAGAGGAACGCTTTTTGTTCTGAAAACTGAATTCTTAAAAGCTAGCCTCTGCATGGAGGGTACGTCCCTTTTCTCCCTCAACTAAAATGGTATTTTGCATAAAATAAGACCCGAGATGAAAAAGAAAATATTTGTGTAACTGATAGTTTTCTTCCCAAGCAAATCAAACCCGTCCCTGCGTAACGTTTGATACGTGCCAAGGAGAGGTTGCACCAGTGGGGTTCTGGAACTGTCTAATGCTGACTCGTGACAGCGGACCATTCCATTTTCAGGAATTTTAGAAGTTAGTTATTAAACACGGCCATCATGAACTATGAAATTATAAATCACAACTGAGTACATTTTATTGAAAGCACAGGTAATAAGCAAAGCTCCCACTTCCTAATCAGTCTATTGCATTCTTCCATTGATCTCTATTCTTGAGGTTGTTTATGTCAGTTGCATCTGCACAGCCCCAAAGTTACACGATAGAATGCTGCTGCGCATCTCCTGGCTCCACACACAGCAACATCACGTTGGGAGTTTGAAATTGACCACAGTGGGAGTATTTACACCACAGCAATATCCAAATGCTACAGACCACAGCCTGTCATTGCCCACAGCCAGCTGTTACAGATTTCCTGGCACACAGCTGAATGTCGTCATCACTTTATCTCTGGAAAATAAATAATGGGAAGCCATAGAAAATTACTAAAAGGTATTAAATACAATCACTCATCTTCAGGTGGCCAAAATTTTGTTTCAGTTTTTAACCTCTCTGAAGACTCTAATTAGGCCATCAGTAACATTTGATGTTTGTACTTTATTAATAATTAAATTATTTAATCATACAGATGCTTTTCAAAATGTTCCTCCCTCTGAGTTTGGCCTGGGGAATCTTGGCAATGCAGCGTCAGTGTCAGCAGTAACAACTCCAGGCTAAATTCAGGGAGATGTTGGCCTAAGTAGAGTATCAGTGAAAATGTGCTTCGGTACTAGTTTTTAAGTTTATCATTTTAGCATTTGCTAAAAGCAGGAACACACGGTAGCATGATACTGTGCCCAGATTCTAATAAATACAGCTCAACTGAAACACAAACTGTTAGTTTAAACAAATTAAACCCTGGCACTGTGCTAAGTCACCACAGATGTTTAAGGTGTTTGATTTCCAAATAGCGTGGCCTATCGGTTGTTAAGTTCAGTATACAGGGTGCCCTGTGCAGTCTCATAGGGAGTCTATTAACTTTTATCACAGATTTAAGACACAGGTCTGAGATAAACTGTGATCAGCAATCACGAGGGAAGCAGACATGAACCCCAAGTCGTCCTCAAGAGCTGGAGAAGGACATGCTGAAAACTGTGTCACTGACCCACAGTCGTAGGGTGAATTCGCATTCATTTTGCCCAACAGCAGTCTGCAGAGCCTATGCTCCCCCCATAGTGATGTTTCATTGCTGTATCAAGTTCCAGCATAGTATCTCTTTTGTTTCTTTGGCAGTTTTAAGTTAGAACTTTCCAATAGATGTGACCTATAGAAAAAAAAACTGTCTTTCAGAACAGGCAAATAAAATTAATGTTTTATTTTTTGAAAGATTGTATTTTTTTGTTTGTTTGTTTTTAGAGAGGGGAAGGGAGAGAGAAAGAGAGGGAGAGAAACATCAATGTGTGGCTGCCTCTCGAGTGCCCCCTACTGGGGACCTGGCCCCACAACCCAGGCATGTGCCCTGACTGGGAATTGAACTGGTGATCCTTTCGTTCACAGACTGGCACTCAATCTACTGAACCACACCAGCCAGGGCTACAATTAATGTTTTAGATAAAATACTGCAAAGCAATTAGGTGTAGGTTCAGGGATGGAAATTTGGATTTTTATTTTCTGAGTGACATTAGGCACTCTAAGCATGGAAGAGAAAGCCTGAAGCACTTCTGATGTCAAAGAAACAAATCACACCTGCCTATTAGTAACAAGGAAATAGGAAAACCTTGTGTGACAATAAAAACCAACAAGAAGTACATGCAATCAGCTCTCCGGAACTTGCATCTTTATAGATGACATGAACATTTATCATTTTAAATTACTAAGAGGAAAACAAGGTTCACAGTTAAGCGTAGTGCCCAGAGAGAGTGAATATCAGGGACAGAAAACCTAACACAAGTGACAGTGCCTGGTACACCAACCGTATCTTGCTGGTCTTTGAGTAAATGGAGTTAAGAAGACGTTGCATGTTCATGCTCACAGTGTGGATGCATCCACAATCATCCTGAAAGGAACTAAATGTTTCTGAAGGACACAGTCCAACAGTCTATCTTTAATGATGACTCAGTGCAGTATTGTTAACTAGTAAGTAACATGGGCTCAAATTTTGGCAAGATTGCTATATGACCTGTATAGTTCTGTGATGCTTTCATATCACTCTCAGTATTTAAAAATATTTCATGTTAAAGAACTTCCGAACTTTTAAAAGGCAAACTCCATGTGTCTGTAACTGTGTAAGACACCCATTTCAGTGCACAGGTGCAATTCATCGCACACGTATACTTCTCGTGTGAATATTTTATTATTTTACTTAATCTGACATCTAATTTTTAGATTTTTGTGGTACTTATCTGAAACGTTGGCATTTGTTTTCTTTTTATGTTGCATATATATTCTAGATGAATCAATAATGTGTGTATTCCTAGGAAATGAGGCACAAGTAGGTTAGATCATTTTATATGTGCATTTGGAGAAGTATCATTTCGTTTTATTGTTCTGTGGAAACCATATTCATTGTACACTGTGTGTATATTTTTGTTTAAATAAATGTGATTTTTATTTTTTATGTTTCTGTCTTTTTCTCCCTAATATGCATTTTTTCATTTTCATCAATATAGCAATGTCCAAAAATGAATGAAAATATTAGAAGAGTAGAGTGTACAATATTTCAAAGAGAATAAACTACTTTTAGACTGGACCATGCTTACCATGCAAACTTTGCATTGATACAAGGTTAGCCTCATAGTCATTAGCAGAAGGCACTTTTTGGGATTGCTATTCTAGGGGACCAAGATCAACCACAATTTTTAAGAAGTTCCAAGAACCAGATGCCAGTCCTTCAACATTGGACTAATCACTAACTGATCTTTGTAGTCAAGAATATATGTAGGGTCCTTTGAGCACAGGTGACAGCTTTCCCATACAGCTACCCAGATCTGATTATATATAATTCATTATTACAGTTGACAGTACAAGGCAACTCCCAAGAAGTTTTAATTAGATTTTCTTACAAAGGAATTAACCAAATGAGACCCCTGCTTGCAGTTAAAGAAAGAAGTTTTGCCATCTGGAGAAATTCAAGAACATATCTGATCCCATATAGCAAGAAACATTCCCCTTCTGTATCATCATCATCAATATATGTTCACACTAATGCGTCTTTCACATCTACGCAAGATCGATGCGGTAGGTAGCCCTGTGGTGAAGCAATGCATAATAAATTAGAGCAAAATGCTGCCTGCCGTAAAGCTAGAAGAGTAACCTGAGGGAAGTAGTGCTCTGTTACCTTAAACATCCATGCAACAGTTCCTTGAGTGTTGTAAGAGCCTGACACCTCCGCTCAAAGTCAAGAACATTTCTTCCAAGGCTATATCTTGAGGTCTCCAGACAGTGGAAATAGGAGGATAGGTGGATGTAGCTGGAGCATGTCAAGCCAGCGCTTATCCTAAAGTGGACATAATTCTGTGGTCCCTTATAACAACAAACACTGAATTGTCTGTTCTCTCCATGTCTTGATGAATGAGGATGACTCAAGAACAAGTTCTTAATAGTAACTGAAAAGAGAAAAGAATATTTGGGTAGAACACTAGGAATGTGGTACTCAAATATTAGAAGCTACCTCTGTCTCTTTTAGGTGCGATTTTGCCAGTATAGCCCTTAGTTTCAGAATTAAATAATAGCAATGATGGTAGCGATCTGCTTTTTGCTCAGTATCACAGCTTCTCTGTTTTTAAACCAACTGGCCATAAACCACCACCTGCCTGATGACCCTTTACTTCCTTTGATGGCGAGTGTGTGCGCCCTATCACCCCAGTTCCCTTCTCAACACTGTGTAGTCTCAGCTACTACTTCTGCTTCCTCTGCCTGCTTCTTACGCTTAGAAAAAGCCCTAAAGTTTAGACTCAGCATTCTCCCTTTCTCATTTGCTACGTTCTCCTTCAAGGTATTGAGCCATTATTTCTAATGAGAGGACTCCAGCACAGGGCTCAGAAAGGTGAGTTTTGGAGTCAGAATGCCAGGTGCACGTATTGGTTCCCCCACTTGGTTAGAAGCAGGTGTGTGTCGAGTTACTTTGTGTTTCTACGCCTTTGCATTCTCACTTGTAAAATGAGGCTGATAGTGTGACTTACTCAGGGTAAGTGCTGGCTTGACATGCTCCATCTACATCCACCCACCCTCCTGATTCTACTCTCTGGAGGCACCAGGGCGTAGCCCCGGAAGACATTTTCTTGACTTTGAGTGGGAGTGCCAGTCTCTCCCAACAGGGCTGCCTGCAGCACTGTTCTTGCTTAGAGGTAGAAAGACACTTTTGGATGAACACGTACTGATGATGATAATACAGGAGGGGAATGTTTCCTGATGTAGGATCAGAGATGTTCTTGAAAGCCTCCAGATAGCAACGTTTTATCCTTTCTTTAAATGTAAGCATGGGCTGCATTGAGTTAATTTCTTTGCAACATGATCTAATTAAAATTCCTTGGGAATTGCCTTCCACTATCAACCGTTATAATAAATTATAAAAAATCACATCTAAATAGCTATATAGAAAAGTTATCACCTGCGCTCAAATGCCCCTACACATATTCCTGAAAAATAAATGAGAAATTGTTCATGTAGCCCTTTGCCCAGTGCCCGTGTCGTAGGGCTTACTCAGCACCCATGCCCACGGTGGCTCAGCCCCCTGAAGGCCCATCGCTTGGAACTTAAGGGCTTGAAGACTAAACATTACGTGTCCTTGGCACACTTACTATGAGAGTTCAAGATACAGGTTCCACCCATAGGAGACCCGCCTATGCCATATTTGGAAGGGAGACAGCAAAGAGCATGAGGTGTTCGCCCCTTCTGCACCTGTGTGGGCAGACAGGCAGGACTGGATAAGCAGCGGTCAGAGTCCCATATCCATACCTATTTCCCAGCTCCCGAGTGGGTGGCTGTGACTTCAGCCATGGAAGCCACAGAAGCAGCATTTTCTTGACCGGTGGGTGACAATAGTAGTCTTGACAACTGGTTCAGAGGTGCCTGAAGCCACAACAAGCCTGAGAAGAGACCTCCTTTGGTGTGAAGTTTCTCCAGCCTTTATAATGATTGTGTAAACATCTAACCCCCCACATTACATGTACTAAATTGTTTTCTGCTAGAAATAGCTGGAGAAGTCTAGTTCCTGCACTGAACCCTGACTGATGCCCTCAGCTTATATACTGCACAAATTTCTTCTTGGCAGCTGATGCCAATGAACTAATCTTTGGTATTTTAGCTGGGTTCCAGTGCTACCTTTCCAAGTAGCTACTGGCTATTTTTGAATGTGTATGTTTTAGGATATTCATACTTTCATTGCCTTCCTCTCAATTCACGCACAGCCCTCCCAGGTTACCTGTCACTGTTAATGGAATCCACATCCCAGTCGCACAGGTTCACAAGCTTGAATCAGCTTTAACACTTCCATCTCTGCTGACATATAATATTTCATGTGTCACTAGGCCTGTTCATTATCTCCCACTTCACCTCAGATCTGCTCCTGCCCCTGTCTCACTGCCACAGCTCTTTCTTTCATGTGCATCCTTTATTACCCCCGTAGCTACCATTCCACCCAAACTAAATGAAGATTGGTATGCAATAAAATCCACAATTTGGCCTTACCTTCTCTACAAGGCATATTTCCACCTCCTGCAGCTGTATCCTCCACGTGAACCCATACTAGGATAGTGGTCTGCATGCACAGTGCTTTTCTCTCTCCCTCCCTCTCTCTCCCTCCCTCCCTCTCTCTCCCCCGCCACCCCTCAAAATTGAACTCATATGCTTCTTGTCCCAAAGCAATCTTCCCATATCCCTCCAAATGGAATTAGCCTCTACTAGTCTAATTCTTGTGTATTATATCCTTTAAAATTTATTCATATATTCAGTTTTTCTTCTCTCATTCATTCTGTAGGTACCATTGAGTGTCTGTGTAGCTGGCAGGCAGTTAGAAATGTGGTGTTTAGAGGTAGACAAGAGGCTTGATTCTTCAAGGAGTTCACTGCCCAGTCTAGTGGTGGAGGCAGATATTTTTAAAAAATAGCTAAGTAAATAATTATTAATGACCATGTGTCAAGTGAATGATCTAGGACTTTGGGCAGAGAGTCAGGGTGTAGGTCGTGGTTCTCACTTTGGATGGGTGGGCAGGGATGATCCCTCCGACGTGTCACTGTCATTTAGATTAAGCTGTAAAGGAAAAGAACTGTCCAGCAAAGGAAGGGAGGGGCCCACAGGGGCAGTGAGTGTTTGGGTGCAGGCAGTGCATGGGCCATGGAGCACGAAGCTGGGAGAGAGATGAGATCAGAGTTAGCACAGGCCTTTTGCTTCAGGAAAAGGAATTCAAGTTCTGCGTGCAATTAGAAGCAATTACAAGG